CGCTGCTCGCCCTAGGGTTAGGGTGTGCCATTACGGCATATACCCTGTACATTGCCTTCCGCCGCTCCATTCCTAGCGCTATGTTCAAGCTAAAGTCCCTACAGAGCCGCCAGTCGCAGCACACACATCAATACAACAAGTCCCACCATCAGCACACCACGTACCATAGCACCCGCGAGACTCTGCTCCCCAGAACGCCATCCGTCCCGTCCGGCAGACGTTTGACAGACAAGTCGAGTCGCCCTGCCGCAAAGAGCCGCGTCATTGCACAGCGAACGCCCCGGCCCCATCGACACCCTGCTCGCGCCACTTCCGGCGGGAGCATAGTCGTCCAGGTGGCCCCAGGTGCGAGCGTCCCGTGTTCGCAGAGCGGGGTCGGTGAGCAGCCATCCAGAAAGGCGCGAGCGTGCCGCTCGCGGGAGCACGATCCATCCCATCTGTGTGTCGAGCGGGGCTGGAGAGGCGTCGACGTTGAGGGTTATCGCGGGAGGATAAGACGATATGCGCCAGCATGCCTCTCACGGGTCCGCGATACGTCCCGTCTTTGCCGAGTGGGGTTGTACTGGCGTCGATGTAGAGAACCATCGAGGGGACAAGGCAAGACACTACGCGCTAGCCTGCCGGTCGCCGTACCATCTATGCCGAGCGGCGGAGTCGTAGAGGCGTTGACGGAGGCCAGCGTGGGTGGACGACTGTCGAGGAGTGTCCGCGATGCGGAGAAGAGGGTATGCGCGAGCGCGCCGCTCGCGGGAACGCGACACGTCCCATCTTTGCCGAGTGGTCTCCCAGAAGCGTCGCCGCAGAGGGAAAACTGAGCAGCGATCGAGACGGCGTCCACGATGGACCACAAAGCACAGGCGCGAGCGTGCCGCTCACGGGAACGCGATGTGTCCCATCTTTGCAGAGCGGCCATGTAGATGTGTTGCCGGAGAGGAAAAGGTGATCTGCATTGCAGGAGGGGTTAGACAAGCATCGAAGAGATAACAAGGTATGAGCATACCGCTCGCGGGATCGCGATACATCCCATCTTCGCCCAGTGGTCTCCCACAAGCGTCGACGGAGAGGACAGCATGGACCGCTATCGAGGAGGCATCCGCGATGCCGCACAGCGCGAGCGTGCCGCTCGCGGGAACGCGATACATCCCATCTTGGCGAAGTGGAGTCGGGGAATCACCGTCGAGAGGGTAAGATGAGCCGACGTCGAGGGCGCAGTCGCCAACCAGAAAAGCGGGTGTTGAAGCGCGAGCGGCACGCTCGCGAACGCCCCTTTACACATTGGTACCTCGGAAATGCACAGATGGCCGCGGCGGAGAGGGGGCAGCAACGGAATTGCCGGGCTAGACGCGGCAGCGGAGGAGAAGTCGACGAGAGCGCAGAGCGGGCGGCACGCTCGCGGGATGTCGATATATCCCATCTTTGCGCAGCAGCGCCGCTGTCTTGACATGAAGAAGGCGGCTTGACTTGACGGGATGACGGCACTAACCGTCGTCATCTTCTATCAAAGATCTCAATATCAGACAACACAAGTAACACAAAGTCGAGATAGACGCACCCGAATGCCGCATGCAAAGGTCTACGAGGCTGCACGTAGTCCTGGAGGTTGAGAAATGCCGGCGAGGCGCGGACACAGCGGAGCGGCTAGACGTCACTCGCGGGGACTCGAACTAACCCATCTAGACCAATTTTGAGTAACGAGAGAGGAAATACACTCAAACGGGATAGGTACCTTGGCGAAGCACATGCTGCGAGGCAGCGTACACAATGCTGCTCGCGAGGGGAGAGGGCATCGTGGGTCATGACAAAGATACGTGACCAAGCACCGCACGCGTCCCTCGCCGGATGTCGATACGTCCCGTCTTCGCTATCCTGGAGGGCGACAATGCGCGCGAGTGGCTCGGCTCGGCTCTGCTCGCCGGAGCGCGATCCGTCCCGACTTCATCTAGCGCTAGTCCTCGTCAGCTACACCGGTAATACATAGCAGTAAAGGTTGTGCACGTACCGTAGCGATAAGAACTGAGGGCGGCATCGAGAAACGCAGTACTTGGTCAGGCGACTGCGAGAAGTTTGTCCAAAGGGCCGCGCGACGACGGCCCACGTACACTTTGCTCGAGTGGACCATAGTCATATTGTATTTGCGATAGTACAGCGGGATACAACTGAAGAACTATTGGTAAGACGAGATCAACACGAGACTGGCGAAGGGTAATGGGTGACTAACCAAGCTACCTAAGCCTATGAGCTGCAGAGCCGCAGAACGCGGTTGCGAAGCTGCATTCGACGCGACCTCCCAGTATTCAGCGGTAGTCTAACGAGGGCCACGAAGCGCGGCTCGCTGATTCAAGATCGTCCATTCGGAGGCCTGCTC